AAAACACAATTGGATGTGGTGGTGGCCCTATGTTTAATTTTCAAATTTAGCCAGTGCGTCCGCCACTCCGTTACTTTCTCTCATTGTATGATTAACTTGTTGGATATTGAGTTCCTGGATGATTGACCTGCAGTTTCAATAGTGCATTAGTGAAAGTTAAATGATAATTTTTTCAAATATTGTAAAATGTATAAGCACATGATTTATATTTGAATTTTTTGACAATTTTCTTTTGTATTGCTCATAAAGTGCCGTTGCAAGGAGTACTTGGTGTCGCAAAGTCTTTATATGCTTGCATACCATTGGGACGTAAATTCGGAAAAATCAATTATTTTGCTAATTTTATGTATACTTTCAAGGGTTATATGTGTTCTTGCAAAAACTAAAAGGAGGCACTATAACTTGCGAAATTGAAGTAACATAATTATGAAATTAGAATAAATTTTAAGTTAAGTATATTGACTGTGATGGCTGAGGACTTATGGGCAGCGATTTTTCCTTGATTAAGTTAGCGAAATAGAATCAACAACCATCATTTTATGAAATTTAATACTTTTTCTTTATTTTTTTATTGTCTAACTCTATCAGAGATTTTAATATAATGTTTATGTACTTTCTTTATTTTTTATACTCATTGAGATAAAGTACACGCGCAATGTCGTACGTAAGACTAGTAAGATTGAAAAACACATCTCGCTTATGTCTCAAGAAGTATTCCCTCATTGCGAAAACCTAGCTAGAAACTAAAACCTTTTCGAACAAGACCCTACTAATTAGGGGCCAATTAAGGTGTTTTTATGGTCCACGTGAACTATTGATTTTTTTGCCAAATTAGGTATTTTATGTGTACATTTCGTAAAATTGATCTAGTATTATTCGTTGGTTCATATTCTCCAAAAATGTTAAATGGTGCACCTGGTTGAAAGTTGAGTTATTTATTCAAAGGAACATGCATCAATTCCCACTAAGAAGTAAAGCATGAAAGGAAAGGATAAAACTAATGGACGATTCAGGAAAAGAAAAATAAGAAAAGCTCTATTCTAAATTTCTAACTAAGCTCTATTCACCACCCAAATGTAATTAGTTTGTTTAACTAATATTTGAGTCACAATTACATATTCAAATATTAGATTAAAAGCATGAGCATTTTTTTTTTAAAAATGAATAGTAATTTCGAGAACTTATTTGGAGTTGAATGTTGAATCTTAGCCTATTATTTTTAGGCTACAACGTTGCAAATTTAAATACATGCCACTTAATTGCAATGTATGTGTGTGAGTTGTACTTATATGTAATTCCATCATAAAACTAATGGACGAAGCAGGAAAAGAAAATAAGAAAAGCTCTATTCTAAATTTCTAATTAAGCATGCTAAAAGAAAATAAAAACCCGAAGAATATGCGCTAAAGAATAGGGTTAATTTCACACGTGATTAGTGAAATTTACATTTTGTAATAAAGCCGTAATACTATTTTTTTGCGTATGAAAGTACCTAAACTTTATTGTTTGTATGGGTAAACTCACAAAATTAATTATTGCTTGTATCATTAAAGTCACTAAGCTATGTTTGTATAAAATAATATGTTTTAATTTATTACTCCTTCTGTTTCAATTTGGATGATATATTAATCTTATCGAAAGCCAATTTAACTAAACATTGAAGCTAAATTAGATTAGATCAACTCACTATTTAAAATTAAAATTTAAATATTCAAAGCTTATACGAGAATAAGTTGCAATTTTTCTCATGTTAATATGATAAAAAAATATATATTTTAAAATATCAGTCAAACTTTATATAGTTTGACTTTCCATAAGTGAATTATGTCATCTATTTGAAACAAGGGAAGTGAGAAATAAGTCGCCGTCAATTAAGAAAAGTAAAACTTGAAAAAAGTAGTAATAATCTTTCGTCCTTGAGCGTCAAGAAATAAAATAAGAAAAAGCAAAACCCTAATAACCTTTGCAAAAAAATAGAAAATAAAACAAATGCAAAATAAGAAATTAATTGGGAAAAAAAAAATGAAATAAAGTATTCCGATTATCAGTAGGAATGGGTTTTCATCAACCCATCAGCTTCATCTATAAATTACCATTAGAAACAAGTCATTTATCACCATTTAGGGTTAACAACTAAAGTTTTCAGCTACTATTCGGTCTCCGTTCTCTCAACTGTTTCTTTTCTCTTTGATCATATCCATCATTCATCAGCAGTACAATGACATACTCTGATCATCGGGCTATGGGATGTTCTTCTCGTTATCCGCCGATGGGTAATTTCTTTCATCCAACGGATAGGGAAGTGTTGAAGTATCTACTAGCGTTTGTGAGAGACGAGCCCCTTCCATGTCAGAACGAGCTCATGCAACAGACCGATCTTTACGTGGAGAAGGAACCTTGGCAGATTTTCGACGCTTATGATGATCATGGCACCAACAAAACTCGTTACTTCATAACACCGCAAAAGAAAGAGAAGTCAACGTGGAGAAGTGTTCCACGAACTGTTGGGAAGGGCACTTGGAAACCTCTATGCAAAGGCCTAGCGGTGTTTGATGATAAAGGGAGACTCATGGGCTTCGTGAAAAGTTTGAAGTATATTCCCGCAAACAAATCATCAAATAACGTTAATGGCGAGTGGTTCATGACTGAGTACTCTTTGTACGGTTGTTATGTCGATGCTAGGGAGATTAAGAACAAAGGTTTCGTAGTTTGTAAGATCAAGAAGAAGGAAAATCCCGGTAATAAGGAAAAAGGAAAAACAGTAGTTAATGATGAGAATATGAGAGACGTAGAAGAATTTATCAATTCTGCTCTACAAGAAGACAACTATGGAATGTGGAAAGATGATGATGATCAGAAGATTATTGAATGCATAGAGGGAGACGAAGTTGGAGACCAATTACTTGCTCTGTTGGGTTCCGAAGACAATGCCGAATACAGAGAGTGGGATGAAGTCGAAGAAGATCAACTTGCTAATTTAATGGGTTCCGCAGACGATATTGATCTGGATGCTTTAGAATTTTTCTAAATCGGATGCTAATTGCTTTTTCAATTGACGACGAGAATATACGTACTCTAATATATTTAGTAGCTAGTTTAGTTTGATAGTAGATAAAGTTACAGTTACAAGTTTTGTAGTATTTTCTCTGAGCTATGAGTATGAATCAATATATTTTGAAATTTTCCTTGCGTATCTTACATATAAATTTGTAACTAGCTAGTACTATATGGTCGATGTGAACCTGGTCGTTGTTAGTTTATTAAGAATAATTGTCACAGTCTGATCCCACTGTCATCTAGTTATTATTGTAGTTCCTTATCAATTTGATAACTGTATACTCTGAAGAGTATGAAGATACAGTTAAGGTCAATATTCTGTAGAGTGTAGTTAACAGTGGATATATGGGTCTAGATTGTGCTAGACAAAATATGCAAGACCTGCGATTGTGTACTAGTGTATAATGGATTGTAACTCCTCTATGTGGGTATAGATTGTTCAAAGGACTGACAAAATCATTTTTCATTAATTACTCTATACTTGCGTTGTTACGCTGCTCAAATGTGGCTTAGTATGACAATTATCATTAGATCTAAGCTCTAACGAAGTACTACTACTATATCTTTTGTATACAGCATGATTAGTGAAGAGGGACTACTTTTGAAAGCAATATTCAAATAGAATATTAGAGGAATGTCTCTTCACTTCGCATGTTAGAAGTTTTCGTTGAACCTTAATTAGGGGCTTTGGCTTAAAGGGTGTTTTAAGTATTTTTTGGCTTAATTTGGTGTTTGCTTAACGTCTAAGTGCTTTTAAGTTAGGGTGCTTTTAAGCCAAAACAAGCTAAAAGCCATAAGTTTACCACCCCCAACTTATTGCTTTCTAGCTTAACAGCTTTTTTCGTTTGACCAAAAAAATTTCTTTACTACCCCTTAAATTATTTTATAAACCCAAAAATACTCTTCCCTCGTTAAAACCCTAACCATGACTCTTTTCTTTTCCCAATCGATCTTGAAGTTTTCTTTCTGCAGTCTTTCTCCAGAAAACGTAACTTTCCTTCCTACGCAATCTCTCCATCCCTCATCTTTCACTCGAGCTCACGATATCTTCCTCGTTTGGAGATAAAAGTCTGCATACACTAAAGAAACTTGGAGGTCTCCGATTGAGTTGCTTGGTAGACAATTAACGTTGTTGATCAGTTTAAGGTAAGGTCCTCTCTTTTACTTTGGTTTTATTTCGTTTTAAGATCATGATGAGATATTAGTGATTCACTCAATAGTGTCAAAAGGCTTTTGGGACACTTCTGAAGAATAACCGTTCTAATAGTATAATAACCGCTATCATAAGTAAATATATGGAGACAGTTTGTAAATGCGATATCATAGAGTTACTTGTGAGAACGGTTTGATAAAATAAAAGTATATTGGAACGGTTTACTTTTCCCTCCTTACTTTCCCTCCTACATATTTACTAGAAAAATAAAATTAATGACCCTACTAATATTTTAATAACTCTTTAATATAGAAATATTCCGTCACTCTCTCTAAACTCTCAAAACCTTGAAGACATCGTCTCTCTCAGCCTCAACCTAGAATACATCGACCTCAGCATCAACGAACTCTATCGGCCAGCTTCGGCGAAGGATGACAACTGCCAGTGAATGACAACTAGTTTCGGCTAACATACGAGCAATCTCCGAGGTAGGCTATCGATTTTTCCCCTGTTTGATGTTTGTATAACTATTCAATTTTCGCTTTCTTTTCCCCCTTATGTTTTCTTTATCTGGTAATAGTTCTGATAAACACATTATTTTGCTTCTGCTTTATTTGTATTACATGATACATTTGTGATTTCTAGTTTACAAAAGTGGGGGATTTATTTGTTAGGTTTTGATTTTCTATTTGAAACCATGAGATTTTCTTTGTTCGATGCTTGCTATCGATGTTCGATCTCCGTTGTTCGCTTTCTTCGTTATTCAGAAAAATCATTTCTGTGCTTTAGTCTAACGGGCAACTGTTTGCCTTCACGTCTATTAGACATTGGGGTTATTCTTCAGAGACAAATTGCTTGCCTTTCTAAATTTTCTTGCTTGGTAAAAATGATGCTATCTAATCCTTAAAATCCATCTAATAAACTTTCGGAAGTAGTGCTTTTTCGACTTATAGGTAGTTCATCAATCATACTCTCATAGTTGTAATTAATAACTTAGTGCAAAGAACGAAAAGTCATAAGCATTATGTGCAAGTTGTAAATTGTTGAGGTCTTTTCTTTATAATTATGACCTAGGAACTTAACTTACCCATTTCCATTTACATATTTTGTCCAATTTTATGATGTTATTTGGTCACAGTATTTCTCAGAATAGTAGAACTTTCCTAGAACAGTGAATATCCAAACCTCTTTCTAACCTCAAGTCCTTAAACTATTATATGTATAGTAAACTTTTAAGCTAATTAAAGGGACTGTGGATAGAAGACATGGAAACACCTCAATTACAAGCAAATGAGTAGACTGTTTCTAACATAATTGTTGCTTCTATATCATGTAATAGCATAATAATTGCATTATGGTGAAAGCAAGTTCATCGCATAGTGATCGTATGAATCTTTTGGAGAAAAGAGCTCCTTTGGAGCAAAGCAATGATGTTACATTTAGAGATTAAGAATTAAATTGTCCCCTGTCCTTTATCTAAATTTTAAAGTATTGAAGTTATCATGAATAAGTATATTAGTATCAATCAATCAACTATGCCTCAATCCCACTGTATGAATACTCTGTATAGAAGTATAACTTATCCACACAAAAAAAGAAAAATATTATATAACTAAAAACAGAAAGAATAGTAAATCTAGAAGCTCAAGTGCTCAACTGAAAGGATGGTTACTAGAAATTTGATTCATTTTGCACTTTCGGGTTCGCTAAGTAGTATCTGAGGTAGTTTTAGATGCCTCATCTTATTTATGAAGACGATAATGTGCAGTAATTCACTACTAAAAAAATCAGGTTTTAGCGACAGACAAATACTGTTGCTAAATAGAAAATCCGTCGCTAATCTCATTTAGCGATGGATTAGCGACGGATTATCAAGAAATTTTGCTAGCTACGAGCGTCTTAGTGACAGATTAGCGACGACGTTCGTAGCTAATTCCAGTTTTTTTGTCCCTACTTGTCTTTGGTTGCCCCCTTCCTCATGTCTTTCCTCCTCTCTTGGACATCATCAAACCTCTGCCTTCTTATTTTATAATTCAAGGTGCTTCTCGCAAATTAGATACACAGAGAAAGAATATAGAGGTCGTTGATTTTGTTGGTGTACTAGGGAAATTTAATCCTGATAGGAAAGTCAAGTACTTCAGAGTGGAGTGTGCTTTTTTCCTTTCTCCCACAACATAGTATCTAGTTGCTTTCCTCGATGAGTTTTAAGTATAAAGGGCCAGTTAAATTTCCAAGCGAAACTGCAAATTGTGACATTGTAATTTTTATCAAAAGAAAGGTGGAGAGATGTGATGTATCTGAGCGTGTTAATAAATGGAATGCTATTTTGATGATATAGTATACTTCTCCAGATGTGTTGAAATGATTCATAATGTGGTTACGACCGAGTGCACCACCATTCCTTCTGCTAGCCCTTCTCATCTCTGCCGTTTGCTCCCCCCAACCCCCAAATATGGAAAATGAAGGGCCATATTTGTCCTGGTCATCTTGCTTGTAATTGAGGCGTAGTAGTAGTTGTTGTAGGAGTTCTTCATCCTCAGTTTCTTATCCTGTCTGATGAGTGTTTAGAATTGGATCTCAATACACCTTCTAAACAAGATTTTGCTCATTTATTAGAATATGCATTTGTGACTTTATAATCATAAGGGTTATTAGATGTGCATGAGTTAGTATATGGTATGGTATGTATATCGTTGTCTTAGAGTATATATTCAGATCCTGCTTGGATAGGCATGCATTAGGCAATAAGCTGGTTCCTTTCTATGTTAAATGCTTAATTATGGCAAATTTGTAGATGAAACCAAAAGGTTAGAAAACCAGAATTAGAAGTATTAACTCATACAACTTAGAGTCGCCAGTTAATGCATCTCAATTGATTTTCCTGCATCTTCCTACCGGCTGATTAAATTAGATATACCAGATGAATATAGGTGCTTAGACATAAAACAGGATACTGAAAGAGATTAAGGAATCATAAGTTTGCCATACATATTATTTTGCTATGCTTTGTACCTAAGATAATATCATATTAATTTGGAACCTAAAGAATAAGCCCCTACGTTTTCCCAGCAAAAAGCTTCGTGATATTATTAGGATTGCCACTTTACGGACAAGGCTTTCTGAACTTGTAGGTTATTTTGTTGATCATTCAACCCAGAGATTTGTAGTTCTAAGACTACAGCTTCTAGTAGAGGGTGAAAAGAAATGAACTTAACTACATCATCTTTCAGATGACACAAGACATATCAAGTTGTGCTTAAGAGCAAAGCTAACAGCAGAATGTGCTTAAGCTATGTATAATAAACCTTTTTATATGTCAATTGTACATCTCTTATGTGTGGAGAAATTAATCAATTTCTGATGAAAAGCTAGGATAAATAGATATATTTATATGAATATCATTGATTCTGCCAACATCTCTTGAGAGCTATACCATTAGATGCATTTTTAAATAAAAATACTGATAAAGCTCCAATATACCATTCTCAACTGTGAAATTAGTACATATGTTTCTTCCACTTCTGTTTCCTTATCCACAATACATTTAAAAGTTTGACATGCAAAAGAGTTTGCCATAATCTTGGCCTTAGAATATATGATGTGTGTCTTATTCTAGGGTAATAAAAATCGAGAAGCGAAGCGAAGTGACCCCTTACCCGCTTCTGCTATATGAAGCGACTCAGGTAGACAAAAGCGTGCGCTTCCCACTAAAAAGGGAGAAGCGGCAAAGCGAAGCGAGAGAAATTACCTGCCTATTTAATTAAAAAAAATAAGGGTGTTCAGTGTACTATTATTAAAACACGACCAGCTGCAACAAC